GATCTGGGTTCCTACCTTTCACCCCTTCAGAACATGCAAGAACATGTTCAGAAACACAGAGAAGGCACTCCTAAGCCTGGAAGGAAGCCTCAGAGGAAGCCAACCTGGACCTCAGGTGATTGGTAAGGTACGCCTCAACTCCCTGACAATATATACTTTGGAGGGTCCTGCTGGGTGGCACTTCCTTCTCTGATTACTGCCCTCCACTAATAGGTCTGGCATCCTAGAATTCCTTTAATAGTATGTGTCCTTGTGTTTCCTTTACCCAGTAATAGGCCTGGGTCCCTTGACCCAGAAAAGCCAATCTAGAATCGGAGCCCAGATTTTTTTTTTCTCTCTGAACTTGGAATTGGTATGAGGATGGGAGATCAGGTAGCTGCAGCCACGGGACGTGGAAGCTCATGCAGAAGAAGCAGGTCTACAGAAAGAAGGTAGTAGATAGTTCAAGATGTCTAGGCCTTCAAGAGATGGAGCTCAAGGCTCTGGCTCCAGACTCAACAGTCCCAGCTTCCTCAAAGCCTGACTGAACTTCCTGGGATTGGGTTGCATCACACTTCCCTTTTTTTTTTGAGTTGAAGTCTCACTCTGTCGCCCAGACTGGAGTGCAGTGGCCGCTCCCGGCCACCGCAGCCTCGACCTGCTGGGCTCCGGCGATCCTTCCGCCTCAGCCTTCCGAGTAGCCGGAATTACAGGCGCGCTACCACGCCCGGCTGATTTTTGATTTATTATAGAGATGAGATCTCGCTGCCCAGGCGGGTCTCGAACCCGCGGGCTCAGGCAATCCACTCACCTCAGCCTCCCAAAGGCGTGGGATTACAGGCTGAGCCACTGAGCCCGGCTCACATTTCCCTCTTACTAAATAACCCCAATGTTTCTGTTACTTGCAGCCAAAAGGCCATTGATTAAGATGTTCACTTTCTGTCTTCATGACTTGTCTAAGGTCCCTCAGGACCTGTGCTACAGACCCAAAGCTTGGCTTCCATCCTGAAGTTCAGACGTTAAATAGCAAGTCTCCCAAGGGCAGCCCTACTCAGAATTCAGCTCACAACTGGACAGGGAATCAGTCCCTCACCTTACCACTGTTCCAGGGAAGAGAGCAGAATACATGATATCTGCAGTTCCTCTACCAGAAGTATACAATAATGATAATTGCCATTTATTTGGTCATCCTGTATCGGGCACTATGCTAAGTATCATGATAAGTTCCAGTCTTCAAAACAACCCTCAGTTGGTTTAAATTAAAAATAGTAAAAATCTATTATCTAAAGTAAATACATATGGAGATCAAAATAAGCATAAATGCCTCATGCTTATAAACTTCTCTAGAAATAGGAAACCAAAAAATGTCTAACCAAAACAGTCTCCATTGATATAAACATTATTTGCTATTGCCAATTAGTCTTTTGGCTGAAATTAAATTGCTGATGAAATTAATTTGCTTTATGAATAACAAAGCACACTAAAGTTAGTATACAGCCCCTCATTGCTAAATTTGACTGACTTAAGCAAAAAAAAAAAAACAAGCTGGGCTCGGTGGCTCAGCCTGTAATCCCGCGCCTTTGGGAGGCTGAGGTGAGTGGATTGCCTGAGCCCGCAGGTTCGAGACCCGCCTGGGCAGCAAGACCTCATCTTTACAATAAATCAAAAAATCAGCCGGGTGTGGTAGTGCGCCTGTAATTCCAGCTACTTGGAAGGCTGAGGCGGAAGGATCGCCGGAGCCCAGCAGGTCGAGGATGTGGTGCCCGGGAGCGGCCACTGCACTCCAGTCTGGGTGACAGAGTGAGACTCCAACTCAAAAAAAAAAACAAAAAAACACACAAAGCAAAACAAAAACTGCAACCCCTTAAGTTACGTATTCTATTGGCATCCCTACTGCTGATGAGGAAACAGTAGCTCAGAAAGGTGAACCATGTTTCCCAAGGTCAAATAGCTGAGTGTTATAATCAACCAGGTTAACTGAAGAGACCTAACAGCCCAAATTTAGGGTCCAGTTGTCAGAGTCCTGGGCTGCCCCTCCATTAAAATGGTGGCTCGTGAGTGGGCGGGAACAGATCTTGTCTCCTCTAAAAAATAAGACCTGGGCAGGGCAGTGCTTGTAAAAAGTTTGTTGAATGAGTTTACGATTGATGGATGAATTTGGAAATCGTTGTTTAAAAGATAGTCTGCTCCACCCCAACCATGGAGAGGTCTGTAATTCAACACTCTCCATTTACCACTGCCGCCAGCAGCCCTTCCCTCCTTGTTGCCTAGAAGCTAGTCTAATGGCATTAACCATCCCAGCCAGCCAGGATATCATTAAAAGCTTTAGTCCAGTCACTGCATGCCCCCACCCAGGGTCTTGGCTCTGGGCCCTGGGCTGGGAGAGTGGTCTGGTTGTTTACCAGAAATTTGGACCTTCTTCAGAGGAAAGCATACATGACCTATTAGACTAATTCAAGCACTTAGCGAGGAATGACTGTACCATTCACACCCCCCAGCCCCAGGCTAATGGAGCCAAGGCAAATGGAGAGCCCTTGGCTGCTCAGAGATCTTCCTGGGAGAGAAAGAAGGAGGAAGAATGACAGACACAGTGCTCCACTGGAGTTTGCAGGGAGGCAGCTTGGCTGAGCATTTCCTGGGGCCAGGCAGGCCATGGGGACACAAGAATGTATAGGGAATGACTCGCTTATTCCACCCACCACTCTGGCAGTTCTGAGCACATCCTACCCACAGTTACCTCCCTCACTGCCTTAAAATGTGGCTCAGAGAAGAATGGGAAGACAACCAAATATCCATCAATGCAGAACTGGTTAAATAAACTATGCATGTCTGAAGATGCACTCATACAAACTCATGTCATGCAGCTGGTAAAAAAGAATGATTTAGTCCAACTCTACTCACGGATGTCTGTGACTTACACTTTGATATGCAGTGTGTGCACCCCTTGTGTAAAATTATATACACTCATAGGTCCTTAAGATCACAGATGTGCACCAGGTACAGTGGCTCACCCCTGTAATCCCAGCACCTTGGGAGGCTGAGGCGAGAGGATTGCCTGAGCTCAGAAGTTCAAGACTAATCTGGGCAACTTGGCAGACCTTATCTCTGCAATCAATCAAAAAATTAGCCTGGCGTGGTGGCGCAAACCTGTGGTTCCAGCCATTTGGAAGGCTGAGGCAGAAGGAATGCCTGAGCCCAGCAGGTCAAGGCTGCGGTGGCAATGATCCTGACACTGCACTCCAGCCTGGGAGACGGAGTGAGACTCCAACTCAAAAAAAAAAAAAAAAAAAAAAGATCATAGATGTACAAGGTGCAGTCTGGAATTCTGAGAGTGGGATTTTAAAGATTTTGGCTTTCTCCTTTAGAGTTGTCTGTATTGTCCAAATTCTCTACAAAAATCATATAATTGTTAACTTTTTTGAGTTTTTACTCTGTGTCAGCCACAATGCTTTTACATGGATTATGCATTCCTTATGAGGTGGGTTCCATGCTTTCCCTTGTTAAAGATATGCATAGTGAGGCCCAGAGAGGTTAAGTCCAAGGACACATAGCTCATAACTGACAAAGTCAAGTGTTGCTGAAGGATATAATGAATTAATGCATGTACTTGCACAGTTAGTGCACAGTAGTTCTTGGCATACAGAAGGGACTCAATACATGCAGATTATTATCATATTGTTGTATATGCACTACATTGCTCTTATTGACTGTCTTGTCTCCTTGCTCTGGTGTGTAAAAGGTTTGAAAATAAGACCTGAGTCTTATTACCTCAGAATCTATGATACCCAGCACAGTGTCTTACAGAGCCATCACTCATCGGATGCTTATTGAAATAATGAATGAATGGACAAATATCCACGGCTCTTTAAATACATTCTTCCAGCTACTTTGCAGGGGTGGACATTTCCTTACCCATAGGATTACAAATTCCCTAAATCAAGGGTGCAATCTCTGCTTTCCTCTGGCCCATGACACAAGCAGGTGCTCAATAAATGCTATGGTTGACTAAGGGCACCCATCTCAGCTGCTGTGGCACACCCTTGGCAGTATTCCAGAAATGGTTGGAGCTGAGACAGATCTCAGCCCCACAGCTTCACATAAGCTATTTATTCCTCCAACTCCATGTCAAGAACACAGAGGCTGAGAGGGACTTTCCTGAGGTCATACAGAAGTTGGTGGAGGGTTGCTGTGCTCCTTATCACATGGCCTGCGCTCTTTTGTCTGTAACACTCTAGATATATATATATTTTTCGAGTCAGAGTCTCACTCTGTTGCCCAGAAGCTCATGGCCACTGCGACCTCAACCTGCTAGGCTCAGGCAGTCCTTCCACTTCAGCTTTCCAATTAGCTGAAACTACAGGCATGTGCCATCAAGCCCAGCTAATTTTTTGATTTATTGTAGTGATAAGGTCTTGCCATTTGCTCAGACTGGTCCTCGAACCCCTGGGCTCAGGCAATCATCTCACCTCCGCCTCCCAAAGTGCTAAGATTACAAGCGTGAGCCACCGTGCCCAGCCAACACCCTAGATCTGTATAGATTCCCAATTTGAGAAAATGGAAAAAGAGCAAAGTCTTAAAGTGTTTATCATGATCCAAGAGGCCAAGGAACTTTGTTGGGACAGTAGTAGGAACAAAGCAAGGCCCCAAGGCTGCAGCTCCTGATGCCCACATGTTCTGCAGGATCTGGGGACAGAGCAGTGCAGGCAGCAGCTTCCCATCCCCCATACAGAGAAGGTGACAAGTGGGCAGGAGTCTTGTTCCAGCCTGCTTCATAATGCAGAATGTCTTTCTAGGCTGCCTCAGAACACTCAACCCTGCCTACCTGGAGAATTAATAGAGAATGACTGATCTGTTAGACTCTGGGTGATCCTGGTAGGTAGGAGGAAGGAATCAGGAGAGAGCTTGGTGGAATTAGTCACCTCTAAAAAAATGGCTGAACTGTGGTCACCAAGTCCTAAGGAGGGGCAGCATGAATCAGAAGTAGATGTAGGGGTGGAGGGAATGAGACCCCAGCCAACGAAGATCTGCAGGTCATAACTCCTAGCTTCTACTGTGGCTTCATCTGGAGCCAAGTGGACATGCTGGGTGGGGTCAGTGTTGCCACGCAGCACACTGCACCTCCTTTCTGACGCTGTCCTTTCCTCACCCCTCACAGGCTGCAAGTCAGGCTGGGGGTGGTGCGGAAGAAGAGGGCCCCCAAGGGAAGCCCAGCTACCAGAAGCTCAGGAGCAGAATCAAGGTAAGTGTGCAGGAGAAAAGATAGGGCACCCAGGGCTGTGGCCTCGGAGCAGAGTTTTTATTCTGTGGAAGAAACAAAATGGAGTCAGCTCGGGGGACCATCCTCACCCCCTTTACCACCTCAGGCTCAGTCAAGCCAGCCCTCCTCCCCTGAGGTGTCCATTAGTGGTTTATAGTATTTGCAGCAACAAGGAGGTCGATCTCCTATCCCATCCCCTTGTCTACCAGCTGAGTTTTTCCCAGCTGGTCCCTAAAGGTGTGAAGGGTGTAAGAGAGGAGGCCCTACCTGATGTTCCATCATAGAAAAGGTAGAGTCTGCCCGGTCCTGGGAGAAGAGCTGACTGTGAAAACGCATCTTAGCTGCAATGGCCTCCACTGAAGAGAAGAGAGAAGGCACATTGGAAGGGCATGGTGGTAGGAGATTTCTTAGGCTCCCAAGGAAGGAAAGGGAGTGCCACAGGGACCCTGGGTTATAGGAGGGCAAGTGGATGGGAGGTGGAAATAGGATACTGTCTCATTCTGTTTGTGGTTCTTTGAGCTGGAGATGTCTCTGGGGCCCAGACAGGCTGAATGGGCAGCATGTGGTGGGGGACCGTCCGGGAGATGGAGGAGGAAGAAAGGCCCAGGCTGGAGGGATGGAAGCCTAAGCTGAGAAGAAGTCTGCTCTGTCTGAAGGAGATGGACGAACTAGTCTGAGCCACAGATTTGACTCTCCCTTCCCTTCGGTCCAGCTGACCTGGCCACAGGAGCTGGGAGAAAGTGACGCACACTCACTGAGGCAGGGGTTATGGGAGAAGAACCCTTCCAGCCGCTCGCACTCCTCCTGCATGTTGCCACTGCCACGGCAGGTACAGCTTAAGGCAACACTGGTGTTGACGTTGCTGATAAAGTTGGGGGTCATGACAGTCCCTGTGGAGCAAGAGGGGAGGTGTTGTCAGGACCTAGGCTAACCCTAACTTCAGTTCCCACTCTGTCCCACCCAACTCAGCACCACATCATCTGCCTCCAGAGCATTCGTACCCTCAGGGCTAGCCAACATTTGGTCTCCCTACATATGCCCCCAGCCTCACCAATCAGCCCCAGGTATGCTCGCAGACATCTGGACTGCTCTGTTGCACAAGTCCCTAGGATGTCCATGGGGTGGCAGTGGGTCTGGAAATCCACCAGGCGAGATCTGGAAGAGAGGAGATTTCAACATCTCCCACGAGGATCTGGCCTGCAGCCTTCTGCCTTGCTTTCCTTTTAGCTTGGCGTGCCCATCATCATGCCAAATCCTCCTCTGCCTTCAAAGCCTCCTCCTCGGTAAAGCCTGCCCCTGCCACAATTAAAGGTACCATTTCCCAGCCCCTACAGCATTTGACTCTGAATTTGGGCGCCACAATCCCTAGTTAAGAGATCTTAGGCGGAACCAGGCTCGGTGGCTCAGCCTGTAATCCTGCGCCTTTGGGAGACTGAGGTGAGTGGACTGCCTGAGCCCATGGGTTCAAGACCCACCTGGGCAGCAAGACCTC